TGTGCTATCAAAGCCATTTTTCTGAGGTTACTAATGACTCTCTACTTGCTAAAAACCCAATGGCTTAGAAGTCACCCTACTCAATTTCTCTATGACATTTGACATTGTTGATCACTGCCTCCTTTATGAAAGTTTCATCTTTTTATGGCTTCCTTGACACTACTCTCTCCTAATAGTCTTGCTGCCCACTCTGACCACATCTCAGCCTCCCTCCTTGACCCATTGTCTTTATCAGGCTCACGCAAGGATGTTCCCTTGGGCTCTTTTCCTTTTCACTCTATTCTCTCTCTCTCTCGGCAGATTTACCAAACTTAATTATCACTTAAATGCAAATAGCTCCTCAGTTTTCAGTCTGAACTTCTCTTTCTAGAGCTCTAGATCAGTATTTCCAACTGGAGTACTGCATGTTCCATTGATTCCTTCATATTTCCCACATCTCATAGGGCCCCAGACTTGCTCTCTACTTTCATTTCTCATCTCAGCTCACGGCAGCAGCGTCTACCCAGTCACTAGAGTTAGAGTCACATGTCACACCTCCTTCTGTCCATGATCCTAACTGGCTGGAGCTGTTGTATCCACAGTCAGCATAACACTCATAGTACTCAAGAGCAAGGACTCTGCATCTGGGTTGCCAGGGCTCAGACCCAGGTCTACTGCTTAGTGGGGGGGTGATCTTGAGTAAGTTGCTTAACCTCTATGTCTAACTTTACTGAAGTATAAAATGAAGATAACAATGTAGCTACCTCTTAGAGTTCTTGTGAAGATTAAATACACTTATATTTGTAAAGTGCTTAGAACAGTGCCCGGCACATCGTAAGTGTTACATAGGTGCTTGTTAATAAATTGGTCTTGAGTTTGTCCCTGCCCTAGTTCATCCTTCACACTGTTGACAGATGTTTTTGAGGGGCTACCAATTTTTATCTTAAACCAGGGGCCAGTCATTATTCATTATGTTAAATGTTTTATATATAGAATCTCATTTAATTCTCCAAACAACTTGTGAGGAAGGTGTGGTAATACCCACTTAAGAGATGAGGAAACTGGGGCTTTAAGAGCTAGTGCACTTTGCCAAAGGTCACACAGTTTGTAAATGCCAGAGCTGGAATTTTAATTCAGGCCTGTTTACTCCCAGAGCTAGTGTTCAAACCCAGGAAGCTACACTAGCCTACTTTTCCAAACCTGAGTTAGTCACTCGCTGCTTAACCTTCTTCAAAGGCCCCACACTGCCTATGCTGTCATGAACTATTCCTTCACAATTTTGTTGCAACTTAACTTCATTTCCTACAACTCTCCTCCATGTGGCCTACTGTTTCCTTCTGCCTTCCCCCTCTTGCCCTCCTTTCCTTTGTTCCTTCAACATTTATTGAATGCCTGAGTGCCAGGCACTGTGCTAAATTGGAGAAAACAAGAGATGAGCAGTTTATTTTCAAGGACCTCATAGTCTAATACAAATTATTATTGACAATAAGGGGACTGCACTCGGGCAATGTGGGAGCCAGACTGGGAAGACAAAAGACAGGAGCAAGGAGAGTGTATTAGCCCGTTTTCACACTGCTAATAAGGACATACCCAAGACTGGATAACTTATAAAAGAAAAGAGGTTTAATGGACTCACAGTTCCACATGGCTGGGGAGGCTTCACAATTATGGTGGAATGTGAAGAAGGAGCAAAGGCACGTCTTATGTGGTGGCAGGCAAGAGAGTATGTGCAGGGGAGCTGCCCTTTATAAACCCATCAGATCTCATGAGCCTTATCCACTATCACAAGAACAGCATAGGAAAACTTGCCTCCATGATTCAATTACCTGCCACCGGGTCCCTCCCAAGATGTGTAGAGATTATAGGAACTATGATTCAAGTTAAGATTTGGGTGGGGACACAGTCAAACCACACCAGGCAGTTTCTTTGCGAGGGGACATTTGACTGCCTTAAAGGGTACTCTGGTCAGAAAATTTCTTGTCATTCTTTAACAATTCTGACTTTTTGCCTTTTGCCTTTGGGGTGATCTTTGGGGTGTCTTTTTCCCTGCCAGATGATTGACTAAGACTGGATTTCAAAATCAGCTTCTCTGATCCTTGGATGTCTGTTTCTTTACACATACCTCAATTATAGCATGTATCACACTGTAGTCTAAGAGCTATTGGTCTATCTGCCCAACTTTTGTTGTTGTTGTTGTTGTTGTTTTTTTTTTTTTTTGCGAGAGAGTCTTGCTGTGTCTCCCAGGCTGGAGTACAGTGGTGAAATCTTGGCTCACTCCAACCTCCGCCTCCTGAGTTCAAGCAATTCTTGTGCCTCAGCCTCTTGAGTAGCTGGGATTACAGGTGTGTGCCACCAGGCCTGGCTAATTTTTTTTTTTTAGTAGAGATGGGTTTTCACCATGTTGGACAGGCTGGTCTTGAACTCCTGACCTCAAATGATCTACCCACCTCGGCCTCTCAAAGTGCTGGGATTACAGGTGTGAACCACCACCCCTGGCCCCATCTTTTTGACTGAATTATGATTTCTTCCAAGGAAAAAACAGTCTTAATTTATTTTTGAACTGTCCTTCATTCCTAAAGTGACATGATTGGAATATCACAGGCCTCAATCAAGTTTTGTTAAATGAAGGGTTGCTTGCCTATTCACAAAAGAAAGTCTAAGTCAGGGGGCTCTTCTGATTCAGAGTAAATCAGAGAGTTGGTGTTCAATAAATACTAAGTATTTGATGGTTCTATCAGTAAAATATCCAAAAATAATGCTGGGAATAAGGAAATGTATTTATTTATTTATTTTTAGATGGGGTCTTGCTCTGTCACCCAGGCTGGAGTGCAGTGGTGTAATCTTGGCTCACTGCAACCTCCACCTCCCGGGTTCAAGTGATTCTCTCACCTTAGTCTCCTGAGTAGCTGGGACTACAGGTGTGCACCGCCATATCCGGCTAATTTTTGTATTTTTAGTAGAGATGGGGTTTCACCATGTTGGGCAGGCTGGTCTTGAACTCCTGACCTCAGGTGATCCTCCCGCCTCAGCCTCTCAAAGTGCTGGGATTACAGGTGTGAGCCACTGCGCCTGGCAGGAAATTTATTATTAAATCTTCTTCTGTGGATGAATTAAGATTGTCATGTCCTAGGTGGCAGGGCTCTGGATCAGGCATGAGAAAAATCAAGAATTTTAGAGTGAGTTTTGAGGGTTTCCTTACTTTCTTGGGTTGGGCCATGGTTCCAGAATTTTGTGCACAATTAAGGCATGGAGGTATGGTGCTGCTGGGAGCAGTGTGCCATGGTCCACCAGGGTTGCTACTAAGAATTTCCCATTCTAGTCCATGACTGGCTAAAGGCAGGAATCTCTTTTGTAGCTGTCCCTGGTTCCCTTTTCCCAGGCGCAACATACAGCCATTTCCTTTCTGTGGTCTCGCCTTCTTCCTGGTAGTAGACATTCCTTTTTGCTTGTTTCTTTCTCCTGGCAAGGTTTACCTCCAGCAGACGGGAATCTTGATGGTGAGCAGAGGGAGGTCTGAGGTGAGAGGAGTCCTCACTCTTCTTCCTTTATTTTTTTGACCTTGATTACCTTTTCACCAGAGGTTAAGACTTTTATACAGAAAAAGCCAGAAAGACTCATAGTCTATGCCTATTTTCCATCTTGTGTCATCCCTCTCCTGGGAAGTGATTGCAGAATCCCTATTGGCATGAATAAAGGGGAAGGGAAAGGGGGAAAGTACATGGAGAAAAAAAAAAGACAGCAGAGAATGGTATCTCAGAATACTGCTCCAGGCATAGTAGTTCCTTAGTAAATCTTGAAGTCTCATCGAAATTGTGAGAGTTAGGCTGAGCAAGGTGGCTCATGCCTGTAATTCCAGCACTTTAAGAGGCCTGGGTGGGAGGACTGTTTTAGCTCAGGAGCTCAAGACCAGCCGGGCAACATAGCAAGAACCTCATCTCTCCCAAAACTAAACAAAAAAATTAGTTGGGCATGGTGGCATGCACCTGTATTCCCAGCTACTCAGGGGGCTGAGGTGGGAGGATTGCTTAAGTTTGTGAGGTCAAGGCTGCAGTGAGCCATGATGGTGTGACTGCACTCCAGCCTGGGCAACAAAACGGGACTAAAAAAAAAAAAAAAAAAACTGTTAGAACTAAGGGACAAAGTACATGTAAGAGGTTTAGAATGGTACTTGGTACAGGAACAGTGAGTGCTCAATAAATTATTATTAGGTCTCTTCCACCCAGGGCAGGACCTGGATTTCTGTCTTGAATCGGGACTTCCAAGACTGTCACTCCCACATTTAATGTAGTACAGAGCTCTGTGAGTGATCTCTGCCCACGTTCCCCAGGGACAGCTCAGCCTGGATGCTGGGCCTGTTTCTGGTTTTACTGGGGTGGGCTTAGAGCTGTACTTCTAGGGGGTTCTCTTTCCTCTCAACATTGGTTTCCCTGCCAACCCTCACCCCCAACCTCAGGAAGCTCAGTTTTACAAGTGCAGTTGGTACCCGCACTTGGTGTTTTTATTGGCCTTTCTGATAGCCCCAGGACTAGACAACTACATTGAAATTCAGAAATAGCAAACACTTTTTGTCATCGATGTCTTTAATTAAATTCAGTGAGCATTTATTGAGCACCTAGAGTATGTAAAATACTGTTCCTTTAAATACATTTAGTTCTGAACTATCTGTTTCAGCTTCTTAGTTTGGATTAGTGCTGATCCATTTCTTAAGGGTTTTATGAAGAATAAATATCAAAATGGAAAAATATTTGCACAGTTCTTTGTAAATATAAACGTCTTGTGTGGATTATTGTTGCTACAGTATTAATATTAATTGCAATAACAACACTGCTGCTTCCCAGACTGGCGGTAGAGAGCAGCTGTAGGCCAACAGGAACCAGACTGAAGAGGTCCGGGGAGGTGCCTCCAGCACGTACGGCCCACAAGGGGCGGAGTCTTAAGAAACGTATCTAAGCCCCACCCCTTACAGCACCCCCTTCGTCAGGGCGGTGTAGGCGGTTACCATGGCGATGACGTCTAGAGGGCGGGGAGGGGCGGGGCTATGGAGAGGAGGAGGAAGATGGCGGGCGGGCGGCTCTGAAGAGACCTCGGCGGCGGCGGAGGAGGAGAGAAGCGCAGCGCCGCGCCGCGCCGCGCCGGGGCCCATGTGGGGAGGAGTCGGAGTCGCTGTTGCCGCCGCCGCCGCCGCCGCCGCCTGTAGCTGCTGGACCCGAGTGGGAGTGAGGGGGAAACGGCAGGATGAAGTTCGCCGAGCACCTCTCCGCGCACATCACTCCCGAGTGGAGGAAGCAATACATCCAGTATGAGGTACCGGCAGCGGCTGGGGTGTGGGAGGGCTCGGAGGGGCCACCATCTCACCAGTCCTGACGTCCACCGCCGCCTTCCGCTTCGGCTGCTTCCCTGTGCCCGGGCAGACTTTGACCCGCTGCCGCGGGGAGCCACTGCGGCATCCCCGCCGCGGCCGGCCGCCTCCCGGATCCGCTGTCCTTCCCCTCCCCCGCAGCCCCGCTGCCGCCGGGGTAACGGATATGCAGGCGGAGGGCCGGGAGGAAAGGCGCTCCCCGGGCCGGGGCCGGGGAACGGTGGGAGGGTGAGCTGCAGGTGGGGGAGTCACGGTGCGAGGGCAGCCCCGGGTCGCACCGGTTCCGCGCTAATCCCCTTCTCCCTACTCGCCCTGACCTCTCGTCCTCACCCTGGGCGAGCGCCCCCTCGCCAAGGTTAGGTCTTGTTTCTTTCCACCTCTCACCAAGGAATCCTTCTCTTCCAAGAGAAACCCCTCCAGTGATTTCCTTCATTCCACAGAGCCCTTCGGCTTTTTCCCACTGTTGACAAAGGCTTTGTAACGGGGTTGAAACTTGACTTAAGTGTGTATCACATAGGCAGTGGTTATAGTTTTTGTAAACGCGTTGGAATCAACTATTCTGCTTTGATAATAAGACTCTTTACTGATTGCATGAAGTCTACAGAGTAGTAAAATCTTTGTTTTTGCCTCTTGTTTTGGAATGGAGGGAAGAGGAAGGAGTGAAGAGAATTATTTACATTTTTATATTTTCTGCTAAGTTTTTGCTAGCTGGGGAAATAATTAGTATATTGTAAACAATATACCTTACCTGTGTATTACGGGAATCGTGCTCCCCATTCCCTCCCAATTTCTGTGCTAACACTCCTGGAAGGTTAGATAATAAGGAATCTTGCCTTAATACAGGGAAAAATAAAGATAATGAACCCATTTATATGTTCAGAAGACAAGATACCTAAGAGGCTTTAAGCATTGCGGTAGGTTATTCTCAGTAGCTGGCAATTCTCAGCTGAATAGAGAAAGACCGACTTATCTGTAACCTCCAGGAATTCACATCTATTTTGTGTGCAGGAACAAAGAATATAAAATCAATATGAACACACATAACCTAGCTAGATTTTATGAATTAAACTATTTTAGTTCTCCATTTGATTTTTATATAAGCTTAGTGATGGGGTGTTTGGGCAATAGCAGTGAGTATATTTATTCATATAGCCATTGTAGTAATTGAAGAAGACAGAGAAAGAGATGCAGGTAGGTTAAACAGAATCTTGAATATTGTGAAATAAATTCACTTGCAACCTAGAGTATTTGATTATTGCTAGAAGTGAAAGGCCTGGAATTATTAATGCTTTATTGTCACTTAATTTCTTACAGTGTTTTGTACCCATGCTTTGTAAGAATGAATGAAATAAGGGACTACCATTTCAGCCCGCAGAGCTGATTTATTGTTTCTAATAACATTCAGTTTTAAAACCTTGGCTAGAGTCCAAGTGATGGTTTTTATTGAAAGAAGGGTATTGGTCTTTCATCTTTCTAGTAGTGATTTTCAGCACCACTGCCAGTTCTTCATAGAGGCACAGGACAGGAGCATGCTGAAGCACATCTTATATTTGTTATATAGCATGGAATGCTTTGGGCTGAAGTAATAGTGGCTGGATGTATGCCATGATTCGTTTTAGGTATTTCAACACTTAACTATTTCATAGAATTGTATTAATTTGCTATATCTGAAGCTGGAAGGAGAAGCATACGATTTAGTTTGAAAATGCAACCCTCTTAATTTGTACTGTCACTTTTGTGGCTGGAGGAACCGCAGTGATTCTTGGGCTCCTCGTTCACATAGTCACTTGGATACTGCTCCTAAATGTTTACTGTAGGTTGGTCACAGAGGGGCAGAGTTCCTGAGATTATGTTGTGTCTGCATTATCTTTCTCAGGCCAGTTATAAATTATGTTTTGAAAAATTCATTTATTCCGGATAATTGAAATTTGATTCTGCAGAGTTCCTACTATATGGCTTCTGTCCTAGATAAACTCATCGTTTGGTAGGCAAAATTAAATAAGGCGCACTTTTCTTTGTAAGTTGAAATCAACGAATATTTTATAGGGTTGGAATCTCTGTTTTGTATGTTGTTTCCGAAGAGTTGGTGCTATTCCTTTAAAAGTGATAGAGAGATGTAAATGAGAGTCTTTAGAGTTCAGGAATTTTAGCAGTTTAAAACTTTGGGGAAAAAGGACATCTATAAAAATTTGCTAGAGGAAAAAGGACCTTTTCACAGTGAATTAAACTGTAGTTTCTCATATGAGGATGATGCTCTTAAAACACTATCAGTAGAACAGATGCTGGGGTTTGTTTTTCAAGCACTGATGGTGAAATTTTGGTGTTTTACCCTTGGTTTCTAGCCTAGGGTGCTTTCTAGTGTTGTGAATCAATATGAACTGTTCAGCTTCTTTGGTTTTTGTGTCATTTTGCTATATTAAATATTACTTGAAATAAACAGAGAATTAGAATCTGAAAATTTTGTTTTACATCTATAATCATATTTAATTATATATAATATGTATATATGGTAATACAATAAATACTAGTGTTTGTATATGTTAGCCATGAGACCTGGGGACAATCTTTTTTGCCTTTCCCGGGCTCGTTCTTCTTCCATAAAGTAAGTATATAGGGCCAGAGCTTTTCAAGGTTCATTCTAGGTCATGTTTTTGATTTAACTTTTAATGGTTTTTATTCCTTGAATTGATAAAATTGTTAATGGTAATAACCCATCAATATCCTGAAAATTATTATATTTTTTAATTGAAAAGTAAGTTGTGGTGTTCATAGATTCAGTCTTCATAGGCAGAATAATAAAGCATAAAATAATAGACCAACATGGAGAAGCCATATAAAGAAAATCTATTCGATCCATTTGTAAGTAGTTTTTCCAAAGAATAAACACAAACAAGCTGAGACTATTCCTGTTTCCAGTAATCTGTTTGAGTATAAATCTTGGCATATAAAATAGAACACTGGTAAATCTTTGTAAGAGCTTTTTTAAAATTTAGAATTAGTGACTATATATTTTAAAGCTCTGCAATTGATTTATCAAAATTAACTGAGCCTGGTTTCAACCAAATAGACTAATATGACCATGTTAATATTTTGCAAAATATTAGCAGAAGACGCAAATGTATTTGGTACCTTAGGCTGCTGACTTTCCCTAGGGCCTTGTGTTTCTTTGGTTTCTCGGGATCCATGAATGATTCTTTTCAGTGTACCCTTTGTTTTGTAATAAAATAACAAGGTTTCTAAATTACAGGATTTTGGAGCTAAAGGGAATTTAAAGATTATCCACCTTGTTTTTCCAGGCAAGGAAACTAAGGTTCAGAGGGGTTGAGCCACTTGTTTAGGAATATGTGTATGTCTCTTGAGCATGTGTAAGCATTGAGAGTCAGGTCACACTGTGTGATCCTGATGAAATCATTTGTTCTTTCAGCTAAGACACATCTTAAGTTTCTTTAATGTTAGAGAATTTGACTTGATTTCTAAGCTCACAACCCCATAGTATTTAAGGACTCATCCAACTCTAAAATTCTGTGTTTTTTTAATGGTTTAATTATGTTTGATATATGAAGAGGACAGAACTTAACAGGACTATTAATAGCATCCTTTAAAATTAATAATATCCTTTCAAAAATTTTTGATATTTTGATCTGTGAATAAGATGTTAACCCAGTGAAACTCTCATATTTAACTTAAGGAATGACGATGAGTTCATTTTTTATTGCAGGATTTTGGAAAGGAGAGGTTCTGCGTGAACTACACTTCTCTTATATTCAAGTATAAGGAGACATTACCGTTAACATTATTACAATTTTCATTTATAGAACTCTCCCATGGGAACACTTGTGTTACAGGCTTCAGTTTCCCAAAGGTATTATGTTTGTTAGGTAGAGTTAACTTGCCTTGCTGCAACTTGTTTGAAATTTCCAGTTTGGCCACCCGATGGGGCACAAACCACACTTTTTCTTTCAGACACTTTTGTAAATGAAAGTATAGTGTAGTGTATTTAAGATAACACTTGTAAATGATTGCGTCAATGAGTTGGTTGGCATTTATAAATGTTTCTTGAGTGGAATGAATGTTGTAAAGACAGGAAGCTATAACTATTTTTTATCATCTTTAAGTGTGTTAGCATGAGTATCCTGAAAAGATTATACTTGTCCGTTTATCCTGAAGGTTGGTTTTGGATCAGCTTTTGGGTGAAGGCCCAGATCATAAGAACCTGAGAATCTTATTTGACCTGGGGTGACCATGGAAATTTAGTCCTAGCTTCAAATTCAATCCTAATCTGGGAAGCGTTTAAGAGAATGATTGAGTGTGCTGGTTAGGGATTTCAGGTATGTTTGAGTTGTAGGCCTCAAAGGAGTGTGCCCAAAACTCCCATGGAGTAAGAGAAGACAGTATTAGAAAAGTAAGGGGGCCAGACACAGTAGCTCACGCCTGTAATCCCAGCTCTTTGGGAGGCCAAGGCAGGCAGATCACTTGAGGTCAAGAAATTGAGACCATTCTGGCCAACATGGTGAAACCCCGTCTCTACTAAAAATACAAAAATTAGCTGGGTGTGGTGGTGCATGCCTGTAGTCCCAGCTACTCGGGAGGCTGAGGCAGGAGAATTGCTTGCACTGGGGAGGCAGAGGTTGCAGTGAGCTGAGATTGTGCCACTGCACTCCAACCTGGCAACAACCGAGTGAGACTTTGTCTCAAAAAAAAAAAAAAAAAAAAAGGAAAGAAAAGAAAAGTAAGGACATGTCTTAAAAAGACTCCTGTAAAGATTCCATAACAGTAATACCAATAATGCAAGCACAAGTGAACAACAACAAAATGACAACAGAGCTGAGGTTTCTCCTTCTAGTACTAGCTTTTTGGCAGCCAAATTACAGAGAAAAACAATGACACTTTAGTAAACTTGACAAGAAGTTTGCCAAAAATGTAAAAATTGTTAAATTAATGCTTT